CTGATAAATGTATTCATGGAAGATAAAGAAGAGAAAGAAATGAAGAATTGATAATTCTCACATCTTCAAGTTTATGTTATAATCACAATGCATACTCTGAATAAGAAGATACTAGTGAGATGTCTACTTGACTCTGAGATAAATACTAACTTCATATTCTATTTCTTTTTTTTGATGAAGAATTGAAAGAATATAGATCTGTCAGATTATATGAAATTTACTGATAAAATAAAATATCACTGTTTTAACATAATTCAAGTAAAGTGTGTGATCACAGATTCAGAAGAAATCTTTAAGAAGAGCAGTCTGCTTCTTCATACAGTTAATATTATAGATAAGAGTATCATTCTAGATCTTCTATAATTAAGAGAAAATAATTCTCTCATTGACTGAGTTACTCAGATGTGATGATATCATCTCACTAATAAAGAGATAGTAATAGAGAAATCTGAAGAGTTTCATTGAAAGAATCTTGAGAAAAAGATAGAGTCAATATACTGTATAGCAGATAACTGAGACTTGAAAACACATAAAGAAGTCATCACTCTTACTACAAGATTAGCAGCAGTATCTGTCATTGAAGACAGATGTATACAATATCTCTTTACAGATTATAAGAATATCTTTTCAGAAAGAGAAGCAGTGAAGTTTTCTGACATCAAGATATAATATAAGATTCATCTTGAAGACAGTGTAATAGTGCTGTACAGGCCTCTTTACAACTTGTCTATAAAGGAATTGAATGTTCTATGCAAATATCTTGAAGAAGTGCAATCAAAGAACTGAATACACTTATTAAAGAGTTCAGCAGAGATGTCTATACTCTTTATGTCTAAGAAGAATGATAGGCTATATCTATGTATAGATTACACAGGTCTTAATAAGATAATAGTTAAGAATTACTATTTATTACTATTGATTGATAAGATGATTGATTGATTATCTGAAGCAAAGATGTTCTCAAAGATTGATATATAAGATATCTATTATAGAATCAGAATTAATGAAGATAATGTTTGAAAAATGACTTTTCATATCAAGTATAACAATTTTGAATATCTTGTTTTATCTTTTAATCTTTGTAATACTTCAGTCATCTTTCAGATCTATATAAATGAAACACTGTGAGGCCTTGTTAATGTCTTCTGCACAGTATATCTGAACAACATTCTAATCTTCTTGAAATCAGAGAAAGAACATGATACCCATGTTTAAGAAGTGTTGAGTCACTTGAGACAGTATTAACTCTATACAAACACTGAAAAATGCTCATTCTACATGCAGAAGATTGATTTCTTAGATTATATTATTGAGATAAACAGCATTTCAATGAACAGAAGCTGGGTCTCTGTCATTGAGAACTGACTCATGTCGCGGATATATCACAACATGCAGATATTTCTAGAATTTATGAATTTCTACAGATAATTCATCTATGTATATTCACAGATTACTGTCTCTCTTACAGATCTGTTAAAGAGAAGTATGAAAGATAGAAAAATAAAACTGTTTATTCTCACTGAAGATATCACACAGGTGTTTGTAGAATTAAAACAAGCTTTTACAGATATTACAATACTGAATCACTTTAATTCTGACTTACTCAGTCAGTGTGAGACTGATATATCTGAGAATGAGATCTATGAAATCTTTTCACAGTTGACACTGAAGATCTTTCAATGTTGAAAGAATTAGAAAATAATCACTTCTAAGAAAACAGATAATGAATTATCTGTGAGAGAAGACTTTTTCACAGAGTCTATAAGATACTGTGAATAAAGATCAGTGACCTTCTTCTTCAAGAAGTTATCACTTATGCAGAGAAGGTATAATACTCATGATCAGAAGATGTTAGCAATTATTGAATTCTTTAAGATCTGATGACATTATCTTCAGAGTAGTAAGTACTCAGTGCAAGTTCTCACTGATTATATAAATCTGTGTTACTTCTTGATAACAAAGAGCTTGATAGAATATCAAGTCAGGTGAGCAGAGCTGCTTTCAGAGTATGATTTCTATATCTGATACTGTTCAGATCAGCTTAACTCTGCTAATACACTGTCTAGACAGTGTGATTATAATATCATTAATATAGAGAAGAATTCTATAAAAGAATCTCTGTCATCACTGCAGAAGAAGCTGGCTGTAGAGAATTAAAGTTCTCTGAAGCTCAGAAACAGCACTGATAAGACAGCTGTACAACTCAGTATAGAAGGTGAAAGAAAACTCAGATTCTCACAGAGAACTGACACTGAAGATTATAAGCTTCTTATATTATATCTTACTATCATTGAATTGATAAAGAATGAAACAGTCTACAATCTTTCAATCTGACTACTTTTAAAATTCATTAATAAATTATAGAAGAGAGACATCTCTACTGCAGCTTGAATTCAGAAGTTAAAAAAGAAAGAATTCAGTTTGAACTTGAAAGAGACAGACTCTGAGCAGAGCAGTGTTACTAAGAAATTAAGTCACTGATAACTAAAAGAATATAAACTTCTACTACTGAATAATTCAGTCTTCATTTCTTGTAGCAGAGCAGTGTGTCAGAAGTTATTGAGAATTCATTATAATAATTCTCATACAGAGTACTTCAGATTAGAGAAGACTGAGAAGCTTCTAAAATATAAATATATTGAAGACAAGCTCTGAGCAGATGTTAAAGAGTATATTAAGACTTATGATATCTGTTAAAAGATAAAGATCTCACAGTATAAGTAATACAGTGAGTTAATATCACTGTCTATTTCAAAAGACTTATAACAGAATCTATTAATAAATTTCATAGTTGATCTACTGAAGTCAATAAGAGTCAAAGAATATGACTTAATTTTAATCATTATTAATTACTTTATGAAGATGATCAGATATATCTCTACTTATAAAAAGATTAAAGCCTCTGAATTAACTGATCTGTTTTTAGATATCATCATTTATAATCACAGTACTCTGAAATCATTAATAACAGATTGAGAATCTCTCTTTATCAGTAAATACTGATCAGCTTTTTACTATTATCTTATAATAAGATATCTTCTCAGTACTGCATTTCATCTGCAGACAGATGATCAGACTGAATATCAGAATCAGATACTAGAACAGTATCTTTGAGTATTCTATTTATATTATCAGAATAATTGACTCAAACATCTTCTGATCACTGAATTCATATATAATAATATAAAGAATGTAATCTTAAAGATATCTTCTTTCTATACTTATTATAAATATAATTCTTTGTTACTCAGTAACATTATGAATAACATTTCAAAGAAAAGAATAGACAGTCAGAATATTAAATAGATACAGAGAATAGAGTATCTCTCAGTATCAGAAGTAAAAGTGAGATTGAAACTTTTGAATAAAATTTATAAGAAGATAATGAAAAGTATCTGCTGTATTCAGAAGTAATAGATAAAATACTATAATTAAAAACATCTTTCAATGAAGTTTTTAATAGAGAATCAAGTACTATTTTTAACAAAGAATATCAAGATAATAAGACTGTGTAAGAAGCTCAGTGAGTGATGACTAGAATCTTTCTCAGTAATAAGAGTGATAAGTAAGCAGATATATAAGTTAAAATTATTCTCAGAATTGAAATTAATTTATTCTATTTTTTATATTTTCTATTTAAAGCTCTATAAGCAATGCTCTGAGACAGAGTCATCTCAGTCAGATAATATTAAGATTAAGAGTGATACTGAATATCTTATAAAGAAAATATTAAATAAATAAATATATTACAGTAAGCTTTAATATCTTATTAAATAAGAAGATTATTCATTATCAGAGAATTCATAAGAACTGCTTAAACATTTGAAAAATACTGAGAAAGAGATTGTAAGTTATAAAACAGTTAGTAAAGACTGCTCTATTACACATCAGAGATATTGAGTAAGAAATACTGCTTAAGACTTCTCATTTTTCTCAAAGGATTTTTTAGAGATACTCTCATGATAATGAGTCAGTATCTTATTAACTCTGTAGCACTCTTCTTCTATTTTCTCTCAAAGAATTTTTAAAAGTTTAATGAGACTATACAAATGTAAAATTCCTGAAGTAGTTAAAGAAAAGAGATATTTGAAACTAACAAAGATTAATATTATTAATTCATAGACTGCTGCTATTCTAAATGAGGTCACAGTCTGCTGAAAAGATAAAAAGAGAGAAATCTCAGAGTTTACTTATTAATAATTACATTCTTATTAAACTCATTCTTCACTGTTAAAGTCTCTGATATCAGTATCTTTGTCTGCTGAGAAGTTAGTACTGCAGTGTTACAGAGAAGCATACTATAGAAGAGTATAAGAGATACTTAAAGTATTAACTTATTAATTTACAAAGTATCTCAGTTATCTGCTTTAATTAAAGTGAGATTCTCTTCAATCAGTGATTAATCTCTACAGTATTTTTAATAGTAGCACTAACTGATCTCTTCTTAAGATCAGTCATTCTGAGATATTTTTTCATCTCAGAGATCTACACTTTCATCTTCTTTTACAGATGAGTAAGAGAGATCTTCTCAGTCTTAATAGAATCTATCAACACTTAAAGCTTTAAGAGTCTTGCTCTGTACTGCTTGAGTATCTAGGCTTCTTATCAGAGTTAATATAACATCTTTCTATAAGATAATACTTACAGAGAGACAGAAGTTGTTGTTACAGATAAAACAGAAACAATAAAAGTGAGAGAAGAAATAGATATATAAAATCCTCTTCTTCTTCAGCTGCTTAGTACAGTGCAGACAGATGATGATACTGATCAGAAGCTGTATCAGAGCCTCTTCACAGAGAGAAGATAAAGAAATCACAGAACTCTGTGAACTCAACTCAGCAGTATTTCAAGCAGAGCTTGAGTGTGCTGTGAAAGAGAAACTATAGATTGAGCTCTTCAGAGTCACTGTCTCTGAAATCAAGCTCTCTCTGAGTTCCTCTCTGAATGATCACACAGGGTCATATATCACTGTGTTGACTGGGGGGGGAGGCAGTGTCACAATGGCAGTGAAGAAGGCAGGAAAAGAACTGAACATGAATGAACCAACTGGCAGAAGGAATGACACCTCACTGCAAGGCACAGTGACTACTGCCACAGCTGCAAGAGAAGTAGGAGAAGGAGAAGAAGAAGGTGTGACAATGAGAGCAGTGCTCCCGCGGCTCATTGACACTGTCACTTCTGTCTTCAACCTGGCTTTCTTGATAGCCACAGAGGCCGCAGCTGCACCATGAAGACATTTATTACTCACTAGAAAATATCAGAATAAGCCTCTTATTGTCTCTCAAGAATGATGCTCTCATGCACTCACTATTACAGATGAAGAGAGGGAAGAAAAATGTGTCACAGAGAGAGAGAATCTTTTCAAAAAATCCTACTTCTACTGTTAGCTTTGTCTCTAAAATACATCACTTTTGCAGAGAATTTCATATATAGAACAGAATATGATGAGAGATCTGTAAGTCACTTATTAACTACATTTTTCATATTTCAAATTGATATATCAGGAACTCACTTATCACATATTTAATTTAAATAAAGATGAGAAAAGAAAGATTTACACAGTCAGCAGAAAAACTCATCTATTTCTTTATATCATGTACAGCATATGTGCTATTAAATTGATTAATAACTGTTACTATATAATAAAGATAATTTCTAATCTGATAGTCTTGAGAGTATCAAGACTATACTCTTAAAGAAGAGAGTATTGTCATATTTCTGACTGTGCTAAGACTTCACTGCAGTTTCACACAGCTTATCACTTTCATGTGAATAATTTCATTCATTCTGCAGATTATCTGAACCAGTTTTCAATCACTTTATAACATTATTCAGATATATTATAGAAAGATCTGATTAATGAATATAAGAACTCTGCTTCTATATAAGATCAGCAGATTACTCTTTCTTGATAATAAGACACTACTGAGATATCACTCTGACTATTCTTACTTATGAAATGAGAGAAGGGTATTCACTCATTATCTATATAGAATAACTAGATGCTGACTTCTCATTAAAGAAGTCAGTGATTTGTTTTTCTTCTACTGAAATATATACAAGAGTTACTGCATGTCTTATACAATCTTCTTAGTATACTAAGTATCATATCTGTGATATTCTTATAATAACCCTGTAGTCTACAAGCTCACTATTTAAGCAAGATAGTTAAGCTTACTTATACAGCTTTTTAAACAACTATCTCTACATGACACCGCTGACTAGCCACCGCTTCGGTTCCGCCATATTACAATTTCTTTCAAATCAGTTCTTAACTCTCAGTAGCATAGTCTCACTCTTTACTGTAAGTCTCTCTGTAAGTAATTTCTTACAAACTCTAGCTAATAGTCTCTGTAAAGCTCTCAGTGCTGTCAGTACTCTCTACAGTCTTACAGCTCTATAATCACTCTCTCTTTATCTGTAAAATCTCTAATCAGATATATATGAATATGTCTAGATTCTCTATCAATGATTCTCATACTGCAGTACATTTCTGAAATTCTGCTATTAATAGAAGATAAGTTCTCAGATATCTGTAAAATTTAGATAATTAAGATAATACAAATGCTATGAATTCATGATGAGAGTTAGTCTGAATATATAACTCTACACTCTATATCTTAGTGATTTTTGAGCTGAATACTTCAGTATAACTGAGAGAGTGAATACAGCTTCATGAAAGATATCTGATAACATATACAGATAATCTGCTCTCAAGACTTCACTGCAATTGTATATACTCTAATATTCAGCTTTTTTAATATCTGTGCATTTTCAGCAGTCTTCATATCAGATACAATAATTGTCTGTATTACAGACATGATACTCTTTACTTCTTTAAAGAGAGAAATTAATAGTTGTAGAAGAGTTAAGTGTTATAGATTATAAGAATGTAAGTGTAAGTTTTCTTTGTTTTTTCTTTATTAACTATTAAATTGTGTTTACAGCCTAATCTTTGTTTTTCTTTGTTTTTTTTTTTTTTTTTTTTTTTTTTTTTTTTTTTTTTTAGCTTAATAATAACATGATTTCTTCTTCTCTTTGCATATATCATGAACTGTTCATCTCAGTAGAAACTCATCATCTTTGTAGTATAGAGTTTATAAATAACAGTGTTAATATCTTTATCATAATCAGATTCTTAGTGAAGATTACACTATTCTCACTTATCAGAATTCACAGTATGAAAGTCATATCTCAGCTTTCACAGATATTTTATCTGCTCACATGATTCTTAAGTAAACTTATTCATCTTATCAGAATACTCTTATCACTGAATCTTAAATCAGAGTTTATAATCTTACTTCTCTAAGTTAATAATCTTGTTAATTTAATATTCTCTTTCACTCTCTAGTACTTCATAAACAGAGTGATGAGTCACAGAGTTCTCTTCTAAGAATTTCTTATATTTGTAAAGTCAAGAGATATAAAAAAGATTATATATCTATAACTCAGATAACAGTTTCAATCTATAGAACTATAAGTTAACTTTCTTTATAATTTTACAAGACTCTGTTTATAAGAGATTCAGCTTCTTACTAAGTCTCTGTATGATGATGTTTTTCAGACTTAGTCAGACTCTATTATCTTTCTTAAAACTCTTTATAATATACTTAGAGTTATAGTATCTCTTTTAATACTCTTGAGTCTTTCTCAAGAATTCACAAGCTTTCTTCTGAATATTATGAATTCTCTCAGCTCATTTATAAGTATTATCATACTCTATAGTATACTCTCACAGATTTATTAAGATCATCTGTAAATAAGTCTTAATAAGTATCTCAAAGAGAGTTTTATCTATAGTGATATGCTTTAAGTTATTATATAAAATCTCTGTGAGTGATAATTAATATACTCAGTCATTCTGATTATAATTAATAAAGTATTATAGATACTGCTTTAATATACTTATCAGATATTCTATCTGACTATCTATCTAATAATAAAAAGCTGTGCTTAGATCTCAGAAGATCTTCAGTATAGTTATTAGATTAGATCAGAACTTTCTTATAAAGATTAATTATCTATCTAAGATAATATTTATAAGTAATTCATGCAACTGAATCACATCATAGATAAAGATATGAGTTAAATTCTTTGACTTTAAGTTCTTATAAGTGAGTGTAAAGAGTGTTATCTTAGTGAAATAATCTATTATTATCAGCATACTATTAAAACAGATATTATACATGTTCTTACTTTCAGAGAGACTTACAAGAGTATTTATCTCTAACTATTCTCAAGATTTCTGTGAGATGAGTAGAGAAGTAAGTTCTTTATATAATCTGAACTGTACTATCTGTGAACTCTGATAAATAGCATCAGAATTCACTATCTTCTTTACAAGCTCTTGCATCTTCAGTCAGAAGTATTTTCTTATAAGTAACTTATAAGTTCTAGTATCTATAAAATAATCTGTTAGAGAAGAGTTATAATACCTTTTAATAAGTTCTATATATAGAAACTTATTTATAGATATATAAATTCAGCTGTCTCTTTATAAGAGACTATTTAAGTCTCTTTAATTCTTTATTACTGCAGAATTGATCTCTGCTATAAACAGTTTTTAAATATACTGAGTATATTTATTCTTCAGTTACAGTTCTGATAATCTGAATAGAAGATCTTATAAAGACTTATACTCTATTTTTTCTTACATTAAATCTTTCACAGTGTTTCTCAAAGTCTGTAAAATCTTCAGATTATAGATACTCTCTCTAAGAATCTTCACAGAGATTCTCAGAGTATTAACTCTCAGTATTATAGAGAGAAGTTATACAGACTTCTTCTCTTTCTTTTCTCTCTTCTCTAATAAGAAGTTAAGAGACTCTTCAGTCAATCTCTTTATAACACTCAGTTCAAGTATTCTATGAAGTCTTTCTATCTTCTTCAGTCTCTCTGTATCTGTTACTCTGATCTTCTAGATATAGTCAGGCCTTTAAGAGAATTCATTCAATAAGTTCTTAGTTGTCTTAATATGCTCTATCTTGAATCAGAACTTACTTAGTTTTTGAGCTCAGTGAATCTATCACTGTGAGAGTTTCTTAATTAAAGTAAACTATCACAATCTATTATACTTAGTTCTAATAGTAATCACTGTTATAAGACTCTCAAAGTAGTGATATCAGTAATACAAGAATTTCACTATTATAAGAAGCTTCTGATTATAAATATCATAGTTCATTTCTGTAGATTATATCTTCTGTGAGAAAAAGACTATTAAAACTCAGTTCTTATTTAGCTGTAGTTATAAGACTATTTCTGAAATTTTAAAGAAGAAGATATCTATCTTTCATCTAATTAAGAGTAAGAAATTAAAGTGAAACAGTATTACTATATTTATAAAGTTCTGTTTCAATCTTATTAAAACTCTGTAAGCTTCTAAGATAAGAAAGTTCTTCAGCTCTCTCTTCTTAACAATCTTTTCATTCTGTATTTATAGAATAACTTCTTCTTATTTTCACTCTTCAGCATGTCTGTAAGAGTTAAGAAGATTCTCATAAATATAAAGATAAACTGTCTATAGTAATTCATAAAACTGAGAAAGATCTGAATCTTATAAAGACTAGTTAACTTCAGTTATAATAGAATAGTCTTCATCTGCAAAGATTTTATCTGAATATTATTCACAGTGATTATATATTCTAGAAAATTAATTCAGTGAGCACTGAGATTGTACTTTATAAGCTTAATATACAGTTCTATCTCATTTAAGATCTTTAACATAGTTTATACATACTCAGTGTGTTCTTTCTTCTTTGTAAACTATATTATCACATCATTCAGATATATTATTACAAAGACATTCAGATATGTATAAAGTGTTTTATTGATAAAAGACTGAAATGCTGTAGAGATATTAGTCAAATTAAAAGATATCACTAGATATTCAAACAATCTCAGCATGATTCTGCTGATTCTCAGTTAAGAAACCAACCGCTCCACCACGAACTCGCTCAATCTTTTGAATAAGAACCCGCCGATATATCCATTGAAGAGCCCTCGATCACACAACCATTTTGACCCCATCGCGGACCGCATACCCGGTGTGGTGATGGAGTTATCCAGCCAAATGTGAACCAGACGTCATTCGAAACTCCTGTGTGGGATTATCCCCTGTTACCCCCACTACACCACAACCCCGGGCCAAATTGCCATAAAAATTGTAAGGTGAAGTGAGCTAGTCATATGCATCAATCTTCTTGATTTTGGAAGATCTCTGATCTGTAATTGT